AATGGCCTTCTGGGATCCAGACAACAAGGCAAAATGAAGGTCTTAAGGGGGATGGTGTAGGATGGTAGGTAAGGTAAAGAAACCAATGTTTGGAGAAGGCAAGGACCCGTGCTAGTGATTTGAAGATCTAGGCTCATGTGCTAGAGAGCCTGGAGTCAGGGAGGCCAGAGCTAAGGGCCTGACACCAAGCAGGTGGTGCCATGGAGACACAAGGGTCTGGAGGGTCCCAGGCTGGTGGCCCAGCAGAGCTGAGCAGTCAGAGCCAGCCCGAGAGCTCAAGGGCTAGACCAATTTTTCCCTGTCCAGTCCTTCCCTACTTGGTTGGTGTCTGCCCCATCCTCTCCACCTCCTCCTTCATGAGGTTCTTTCCCTTCCCAGGTTCCCAGGGGAGGGTCATGGTGGAGAGGAGGATGAGCTCCCCCACCCCACACTGCCCTGAGAGGCCTCCAGACAGGCGCCAAAGGCACAGACACACAGCTCGACCCACCAGCACACTGAGGGCATTCTCCTTATCCTCGGCTGTCAATTTCTTATCAATGCAGTTCTTTAGCTTTTCAGCATTGGCCAATATTACAGGATTGCGTTGGTACTGTGAAACTTTTTTAACATAGTCATCAGGGGTTCCTGTCAGGAATATATTAACATCTTCCTTCACGGCTGGGCAAATGTCACAATCTGGAAAACAAAGACAAGCTGACACTCCCTTGAAAGACATGCATCAGAACATACTCTTCCCTTCCCCCTCCCAACATGCTCAGAACTGCCCTGGGAAAGCGTCGGAGCCCCTGGAGAACCCGTGCTCCCAGGCCCCTATTTCCCAGCTACCACCCACTTCTGCCTGGGATCAGAAGCAAGGTGGTCCAGAGCAGCACGAGAGCACCAGCCCGCTTCATGGTGCAGGTGGCAGGTGCTCACTTTCAATTCTGCAGCCCTTTTATACCTGCTGTTGGCCCCACCATGGGGCAGGAGGGACCTTCACCTGACCCTGCCTTTTCTAGCAGGTGCTGCCAGGCGTCTCCCAGGCCACAGCTTGGAATTGCCTGGGGCTGCGGAGGGAGGAGGTGTGTGTGCTGGTGAGGTGCTAAGTCCCTGAGTCAACAAAGGGCACTGGCTTGGCCTTCCTTCCCCATCTTGGGGGCTGCGTCCCAGGGTCAGCTGATGGGAAAAGCTTAAGAACTGAAATTTCCCGGGTTGACAGGGCAAAGGGGCAACAAGGCTCCCAATCAGGCCTCCTGAATGATGGCCATTGTCAGCCCATCACAACTGCAGGTGACCTTGAAGACCGTCTGGTCTCAACTTGATGATTTTTCAGGAAACTCAGTCTGTAGTTAAAGGTCTCACGGCTGGTAAGTGTCAAGGGAAGGCCCGAGCAGCAGCCCTGACCCCCTGGTCAGGCTCCCTGGTGGCTGCTGCCCTGCCCTGTTTTCATCACAATCTCTGTCCTTGACCTGCTCAGTGGCGTCTCTTGAGCTAGTCCCATAAGCCTGTTTCTGGAGCCCTGATTCCTCCCCTACATGCTGGCCCACAAGCTCTAGTTGTCTGTTGACCAAGTCCTGCCACTTGGTTATAACACGGCAGTCTGACACAGAAATATAATTTTTCTCCAACTTGCTTCTTTTGAGTTTTTCTGTACTGTACACACCATCAGTCCTCCACAGCTACAACCTGAGCAAAACCCAAGCTCCTTCTATGACCCACACCTGCTGTGCAATTTGTATAACCAGCACCCTGCCTGCTGCCTCTCTGAAGGTCTCCCTGCCACCTTCTCCATTGCTGGCCTCCTTTCTGTTTCTTGACCACGCCAAGTGTGCTCCTGCAGCAGGGCCTTTGCACATGCTGCCCTCACTGCCTGGAATACTCTTCCGCCAAGTGGCTGCATGAGTGACCATGTAAGTCCTCAGGTCTCTTCAAATCTCATGTTATCAGAGAGACTTGCCCACACTCTTGACACCTCTATTGAAGGGCACTCCCCCGCACCACAGCTCTCTCGGTTCTCTGCTGCTTCAGCTTTCTCCACAGCTCTTCTTGCCATTTGTTGATTGCCTTCTGCTCCCTCTTAGTCCCTGGAGAGCGAGGGCCTTTCTGCGTGTGTTGCTGCATCCCCGGGTCTAGGACAGCGGCCAACACGCAGTAGGTGCTTCACAGATGTTTGTTAGATGAATGGAAGGAATATCCCATTTCTCTGGAGTCTGCACATGAGAATTTTTTACTTATACTTGCTATATATGTTTATGAATATTGCCTGGGATTACTTAAGGTAAAGGTTTTAAACGTTTTGTTAAGTCAGAATTAAGAAGCTTGTGAGGGAGGCACTTGCCTCACCTTTTCTTGAGTCATCTGTGACAGAACAAGTTCTGTTGAAGCCCAGAGTCGCTGGGAGGACACAAGCTCTCTAACCCACTCGGAACCCTAAGCCAAACGGGATTCACATCCGGTAACTGCTCTTGGCAAAGAGGCCCCAAGTGCTGAGCTGCAGCTGTCAGCTGGCCACCACAGAGCCACTCCTTGCCACATCTACTGATGCCCAGTGGCCATACCTCTGAAGGTCACCCCGTGCGGGGCTCAGGTTACTGCCATATCCCTCAGAGTTTCCTGGACACCTTTTAGCCCAGGAAAGTGAGCCCCATATGCCCCAGGCCACACGTGCTTGCTCATTCTCTACCTGGGACAGAATTTCAGCGTGGTGGGACACCTGGGCGAGGACCATGTGTCTACTGTTCTTCACAAGGCACTTCTTCAACCCTCTCCTCCGCTCTGTGGGATGATGGAGCAGGGCTTGGAGTACTGAAGTAACACAATCAGGATGCGAATGTCAGGCAGTCCCAGTGCCCTTCCGAGGGTGCCACAACATCATCTGAGATGTCTCCCGGTGGTGGGAGGGGAGGATTGCTGGTCAAGGTCAATGGAGGAGTTGCAGCATGTGCAGTCTTTTCCTAATGCAAGGTTTGTTTTTTTTTAAAATAAATTTTAATTTTGGGATAATTTTAGGTTTACAGAAAAGTCGCAAAGATTTGTCAAAACCAAGAAACTGACATTGGTGCACTACTATTAACTAAGTTCCAGACTTTATTTGGGTTTCGCCAGCTTGTCCGTTAATGTCCTCTTTGTGTTCCAGGATCCAATGATCCAATCCACACCCTAAACACACCACGTTAATCACATCTCCCGGGCTCCTTTCCTCGGTCTTTCCTGGTTTGTCATGGCCTTGGCAGTCTTGAGGAGGACTGGTCAGGTATTGTAGAATGTCCCCCAGGCTGAGTTTGTCTGCTGTTTTTCTCATAATTTAGACTGGGCTTCAGACTTTGGGTTTTTGGGAGACAGCCCAGGGGTGAAGTACCCTTCTTGTCACATGACATCAGGGCACATGTGATATCAGCATGTCTTTCCACTGGTGATATCAGCCTCGATCACGTGATCAGTGTCGTGTTGGCCAGGTTTCCACGCTCTTTTCCTCTTTCCCTATTCTTGTCTTTGGAAATGAGTTGCTACATCTAGCCCACTCTCAAGGCGGGCAGGGCGGTAACTCTACCATCTGGAGGGGAGTTTCTACATATAGTATTTGGAATGCTTCTGTGAGGAAAGTTTGTCTCTTCTCCCTCATTTGTTTATTTATGAAGTCATTTATTTATATCAGCATGGACTTGCACATATTATTTTATACTTTGGGTTGTCATTCAATACTGTGTTCATTTGTTGTTCAAATTGTCCCACATTTAGCCATGGGGAGCTTTCGCAGGCTTCCTTCTGCTAGAGTTTTCACAGACTATCTCATCTTCTTTATGCCAACAAACTACTTTCCTAGAGTAGAAGGTTGACTTTAACTCTTGAGAGAGTTTAAGCAGATGGAGTGCCACCTCTGCTCGACCCAGCTCTCTGGGCCACAGGACTCCACTGAACAGTGGCCTGTAGGGTCGTGGACCCCTGAGTCTCTGACACGGGAAACAAACTGCACAACCCACTATGCTCACTGATGTTTCTGGGTGGGCTGTGTAGTCCAAACTCCTCTTGGGGCCAGGTTGACTGATGGAGGAGGGTGAGACAGCCAGAAGGAACAAGGTTGGAGCCACTGAGAGTCAAGAAGGTGCCCAGGAATTTGCTCCCTTAAGGGTGAGAGGGAAGCTCGTGGCATAACCCCAAACTGGAGCATTACCTGAGAAAACCCACACGGCCGTGAAGTCCTGCAACTTACCTGGTAGGGAGTGGTCCAGAGCCCAGGGATGGTGTTCACCTGTCCCCAAGGCTCGATTCAGAGACCGCAGCAGTCAAGATGGTCAAGAGGCTCCAGTCAGGCCCAGCTCCCCATACTTGTCTGCAGGACTTCAACTTGGTAAAAGGAAGTTTTCTGGATTAACTTTTGTTTACCTATAGTGGCATAGACCTGTCCTTGACTCCTCCTGTGCTTTTCATCTCCACATTTTTTTTTTAAAGATTTTATTTTTTCCTTTTTCTCCCCAAAGCCCCCCAGTACATAGTTGTATATTCTTCGTTGTGGGTCCTTCTAGTTGTGGCATGTGGGACGCTGCCTCAGCGTGGTTTGATGAGCAGTGTCATGTCCGCGCCCAGGATTCGAACCAACGAAACACTGGGCCGCTGGCAGCGGAGCGCGCGAACTTAACCACTCGGCCACGGGGCCAGCCCCTCATCTCCACATTTTTGGAGGATACTGTGTTGGATGCCAGGAAAGTTTGGGGGAAGAACGACTAGGATCAGAGGTGACTCTGGGGCTGGGACAACAGAACATTTGGCTCAGGATACAGTCAGTTAGAAATGTCAGCTCAATTTGGCTCAGAATGGAGTCATTTAGAAATGTCAGTTTCGACTGGTCTTTGGCAAAGGTAAAACCACATCTTCTTCAGGAGCTTTGCTCTCAGAGTAGGAGGGGCTTCCCACACTTAACACCCCAAGGGCCAAGGGAAACTACCTGTGCCAAGTCTCTGCCCTTAGGCTTTTGGAGCTCCTGGGAACGGTGCGCTAGACTCAGGGAGCTAGTAGTTTATAAGGCAGCAGAAACCCTGCCCTGTGAAGAGCATTCTAGCAGTTGACACTATGAAGGGGGCACTGCTTGTGCTGGCCTTGCTGGTGACCAGAGAGCTGGGCATCAAGATGGGTGAGACTAGAAAGGAGGGAACAGATGGCCTTCTTGATCCTTGCCTCACCCCATCTCACTCCACCCCAGCATGGTGACCACAGAGCAGGTTCTGGTGACAGATTTAGGGGGCAGCTGGGAGACCATTGCCCAGGAGTCCTGCAGAAACCCTCTGAGGTTTTCAGTCTTTGAATGGAGGGAGAGGTTGGAGATGGAGGGGTCGTTAGTGGTGCACACAGTAGGGGATAGTTAGTTGGGGTAGAGGGGCTTATTTGAAGGTCGGAAGCAGGCAGGTGGGTACGCCTGAGGGCAGTGGTCACGGGCAGAGGGCTCTCTTGTCCTTTCCCCTCACACTGTTCCCTTCAGCTGGAAGTGCTTCATAGAGAATGTTCTTTCTGTCTGGGGTGTAAGCAGTCCCGGGAGAGGGCAGGTCTCTCTGGAAGATGAGTCAGGAGACACCGGATATGTGAATTACTTTCAACTGGTGGGGAAGCAGGAACCTCTTACACTGGCGATTCCTTTGATGAGGTGTTTTCTTTCTTCAGCGGAAGCTTGCCCGAGTTTTTATGCAGTCCTTGGTGTGTTGTCCCTTGGAAGCAAGACACTGTTGGACACCTCCCTCAATCTGGTCAATGCTACTGAACCGGAAAAAGTAGCCATGGGAAAAATCCAGGATTGCTACAATGAGGCGGGAGTCATAACCAAGATCTCGGATCTGATCATCATGGTAACTTACTCTCCTTTCCCCAACTCCCACCCTGACGAGATACATGCAGGATATTGCAATATGCCACATTCAAACAGATCATGCAATCGTGGGCTACACAACAGACAAGAGCTATAAACAATCAAGTACATAAACCTTTGCTCCACCCTCCAGCACATATAGTATGTAACCACATGCATGTGCACAGCCAGCCTGTTCTATCACACATGTCCCTATCGTGCCAATTAGCTCACATACAATAGGAAAATAGGGGACTAATACCACTGCAACACAGAAAGTGTATTGACACGTGTGATTGTTTTCCAGGTTAGGGGAGCTAGCATTGCAGGAGTAGATTTTTAACCTTTGGCTGGAAAGAAAGAGCTCAGCTCCTGCACATGTAGGAGCTCCGGCAGCTCTATTTTCGCAATATTAAAAATGAGCACCTGCCTTTAGATTCTTCCCAGGAAGAGACTCCCCGGCTTGGTAAGGCTTCTGGCTTTTGGCCAGTTTCATTTCCTTTTTTGTTTTTTAAAATTGAGGTCATAATAGTTTATAACATTGTGGAATTTCAGTTGTATATTATTGTTTGTCAGTCATCTTGTACGTGTGCCCCTTCACCCCTTGTGCCCACCCCCCATCTTCCCGCTGGTAACCATTAAATAGTTCTCTTTGTCTGTGTGTTTGTTTATCTTCCACATATGAGTGAAATCATACGGTATTTGTCTTTCTCTGTCTGGCTTATTTCGCTTAACATCATACTCTCAAGGTCCATCCATGTTGTTGTGAATGGGACGATTTTGTCTTTTTTTATGGCTGAGTAGTATTCCATTGTGTATATATACTGCATCTTCTTTGTCTAACCATCCATTGATCGGCACTTGGGTTGCTTCCACGTCTGCTATTTGCAAATAATGCTGCAGTGAACATAAGGGTGCATAAGTCTCTTTGAGTTGTTGATTTTAAGCTCTTTGGATAAATACCCAGTAGTGGGATAGCTGGGTCATATGGTATTTCTATTTTTAATTTTGTGAGAAATTTCCATACTGTTTTCCATAGCGGCTGTACCAGTTTGCATTCTCACCAGCAGTGGATGAGGGTTCCCTTTTTCCACAACCTCTCCAACATTCGTCATTTTTTGTCTTGGTGATTATAGCCATTCTAATGGGTGTAAGGTGCTATCTTAATGTAGTTTTGATTTGCATTTCCCTGATGATTAGTGATGTTGAACATCTTTTCATGTACCTGTGGCCCATCTGTATATCTTCTTTGGAAAAATATCTATTCATATATTCTGCCCATTTTTTGATCGGCTTGTTTGTTTTTTTGTAGTTCATTTGTGTGAGTTCTTTATATATTTTGGAGATTAGCCTCTTGTCATATATATGATTTACAAATATTTTATCCCAGTTGGTGGGTTATCTTTTTGTTTTGTTCCTGGTTTGCTTTGCCTTGCAGAAGCTTTTTAGTCTGAGGAAGTCCCACTTGTTTATTTTTTCTTTTGTTTCCCTTGTCTGAGTAGACATGCCATTTGAAAAGATCCTTCTAAGACCGAGGTCAAAGAGTGTACTGCCTTTATCTTCTATGAACTTTATGGTTTCAGTTCTTAACTTCAAGTCTTTGATCCATTTTGAGTTAATTTTTGTGTATGGTGAAAGATAATGGTTTACTTTCATTCTTTTGCTTGTGGCTGTCCAGTTTTCCCAACACCATTTATTGAGGAGACTTTCCTTTTTCCACTGTATGTTCTTAGCTCCTTTGTCGAAGATTAGCTGTCCATAGATTTGTGGTTTTATTTCTGGGCTTTCAATTCTGTTCCATTGATCTGTGTGCCTGTTTTTATACCAGTACCATGCTGTTTTGATCACTATGGCTTTGTAGTATATTTTGAAGTCAGGGATTGTGAAGCCTCCAGCTTTGTTCTTTTTTCTCAGGAATGCTTTAGCAATTCGAGGTCTTTGGTTGCCCCATATGAATTTTAGGATTCTTTGTTCTATTTCCGTGAAGAATTTCATTGGGATTCTGATAGGGATTGCATTGAATCTGTAGATTGCTTTAGGCAGTATGGACATTTTTACCTAAGTTTATTCTTCCAATCCATGAGCATGGAATATCTTTCCATTTCTTTATGTATCATCGATTTCTTTCAGTAACATCTTATAGTTTTCATTGTATAGGTCTTTCATCTCCTTGGTTAAATTTATTCCTAGATATTCTATTCTTTTTGTTGTGATTGTAAATGGGATTGTATTCTTGAGTTCTCTTTCTGTTAGTTCCTTATTAGAGTAAAGAAATGCAACTGATCTTTGTAAATTGATTTTGTACCCTGCAAATTTGCTGCAGTTTTTTTATTATTTTTAATAGTTTTCTGATGGATTCTTTAGGGTTTTCTATATATAAAATCATGTCTTCTGCAAACAGCAAGAGTTTCACTTCCTCATTTCCTATTTGGATTCCTTTTATTTCTTTTTCTTGCCTAATTGCTCTGGCAGAAACCTCCTGTACTCTGTTCAGTAAGAGTGGTGAGAGTAGACACTCTTGTCTTCTTCCTGTTCTCAGAGGGATGGCTTTCATTTTATCCCCATTGAATATGATGTTGGTTGTGTGTTTGTCATATATGGACTTTACTATATTGAGGTACTTTCCTTCTATGTCCATTTTATTGAGACTTTTTATGATAAATGGATGTTGGATCTTGTCAAATGCTTTCTCTGAGTCTATGGAGATGATCATGTGGTTTTTATTCCTCATTTTGTTAACGTGGCATATCAAATTGATTGATTTGTAGATGTTGAACCATCCCTGTGTCCCTAGTATAAATCCTGCTTGATCATGGTGTATGATCCTTTTAGTGTATTGCTGTATTTGGTTTGCAAATATTTTGTTGAGGACATTTGCATCTATGTTCATCAGTGATATTGGCCTGTAATTTTCCTTCTTTGTGTTGTCCTTGTCTGGCTTTGGTATCAGGGTGATGTTGACCTCGTAGAATATGTTAGGAATATTTCTGTCTTCCTCAATTTTTTGGAATAGTTTGAGAAGAATAGGTAATAAATCTTTGAATGTGTGGTAGAATTCTCCAGAGAAGCCATCTGGTCCTGCACTTTTATTTTTGGGGAGGTTTTTGATTACTGCTTTAACCTCTTTACTTGTGATTGGTTTATTCAGATTCTCTATTTCTTCTTGATTCAGTTTTGAGAGGTTGTATGAGTCTAAGATTTTATCCATTTCTTCTAGATTGTCCAATTTATTGGCATACAGTTGTTCATAATATTCTCAATCCTTTGTATTTTTGTGGTATCCATTTTAATTTCTCCTCTTTCATATCTTCTTCTTTTTTTTTTTTAATTTAAGCCTTCTCTCTTTTTTTCTTAGTGAGTCTGGCTAAGGGTTTGTCAATTTTCTTTATCTTCTGAAAGAACCAGCTGTTTGTTTCATTGCTCCTTTCTACTGTGTTTTTAGTCTCTATTTCATTTATTTCTGCTCTAATTTTTATTATTTCCCTCCTCCTGTTGACTTTGGGCTTTGTTTGTTCTCCTTTTCCTACTTCTATTAGGTGTAGTTTAAGATTGCTTATTTGAGATTTTCCTTGTTTGCTAAGGTGGGCCTGTATTGCTATGAATTTCCACCTTAGGACTGTTTTTGCTGCATCCCATATGAGTCTGTATGGTGTATTTCCATTTTCACTTCTCTCCAGATATTTTTTGATTTCTCCTTTAATTTCTTCAATGATCCATTCGTTGCTAAGTAACATATTATTTAGTCTCCATATTTCTGTCCCTTTCCTAGATTTTTTCTGGTAGCTAATTTCTAGTTTCATAGCATTGTGGTCAGAAAAGCTGCTTGATATGATTTCAATCTTCTTAAATTTATTAAGGCTTGGCTTGTTTCCCAACATATGGTCTATCCTTGAGAATGTTCCATGTGCACTTGAGAAGAATGTGTATTCTGCTGTTTTTGCGTGGCGTGTTCTATATATATCTATAAAGTCCACCTGGTCTGGTTTTTCATTTAAATCCACTATTTCCTTGTTGACTTTCTGTCTTCATGATCTATCCATTGATGTAAGTGGGGTGTTAAGGTCCCTTACTATTATTGTGTTGTTGTTAACATCTCCTTTTAGGTTTGTTAATAGTTGCATCATGTACTTTGGTGTTCCTGTGTTGTGTGCATATATATTTATAAGTGTTATGTCCTCTTGGTGGCGTGTCCCTTTGATCATTATAAACAGCCCCTCTTTATTTCTCATTACCTGTTTTACCTTGAAGTGCACTTTGTTTGATATAAGTATGGCAACACCTGCTTTCTTTCATTTCCCATTTGCTTGGAGTATCATCTTACATCCCTTCACTGTGACCCTGTGTTTGACTTTGGAGCTGAGATGTGTTTCCTGGAGGCAGCATATTGTTGGGTCTTGTTTTTTAATGCATCCTGCCACTCTGTGTCTTTTGATTGGAGAATTAAATCCATTTACATTTAGAGTGATTTTTGATATATGAGGGCTTAATGCTGCTATTTGGTCACTTGTTTTCCCATTCTCCTGCATTTCCTTTGTTTCCCGTCTTGTATATTTTGGACTACCAATTTGGTTAGGTAGTTTTCTATGTTGGTTTTCTCAGTTTTCTCCTTATTTATTATTTGTGTCTCTGTTCTACTTATGTGTTTAGTGGTTACCATGAAGTTTGTATGAACAATCTTGTAGATGAGATAATCCATTTTCTCACAACCTCTTATTTCCTTAGCGTAAGCAGATTCAATCCCTTTCCTCTTCCCCTCCTAAGCTGTTTTTGTCATATCTTATTCCATCCTGTGTTGTAAATTTGTGGTTAAACTGACAAGCTTACATTTGTTTTTGGTGTTTTCCTTCCGTTTACCTTTAATGTTATATTTGAGTGTTTGCTAACCTGTTCTGATGGATAGCTACAATTTTCTGATTTTTTCTACCTATTTATCTCTTACTCAGGGCTTTGTAACCCCTTTTTTCTTTGTTTTCCACGTATGAGGGCCTTCTTGAGGATTTCTTGTAGGGGGTCTTGTGGCTTTGAACTCCCCTAGCTTTTGTTTATCTGGGAAAATTTTTATTTCTGCATCATCTCTGAAGGATATTATCCCTGCATAGAGTATTCTTGGCTGAAAGTCTTTGACTTTCAGAACTTTGAATACGTCATTCCACTCTCTCCTAGCCTGTATGGTTTCTGCTGAGAAATCCACTGAAAGCCTGATGGGGCTTCCTTTGTACTTTTTTTCTTCTTCCTTGCTGCCCTTAATATTTTTCTTTGTCATTTACTTTTGCCAGCTTTACTACTATATGCCTCGGAGAAGCTCTTTTTACATTGATATAGTTAGGAGATCTATTGGCTTCTTTCAGTTGTATTTCCAGCTCCTTCCCCAGATTTGGGAAGTTCTCAGCTATTATTTCTTTGAATAAGTTTTCTGCTCCATTCTCCTTTTCTTCTTCCTCTTGAATACCTATAATCCTTATGCTGCATTTCCTAATTGAGTTGGATATTTCTCGGAGAATTTCTTCATTAATTTTTGGTCTTATTTTCTTTCCTCCTCCATCTGAAACATTTCTATATTTCTGCCCTCCAGACTGCTGATTCGTTCCTCCATACTATCAGCTCTATTGTTTAGGCAGTCCAGATTCTTCTTTATCTCATCCATTGTGTTTTTCATCTCCAACATTTCTGATTGGTTCTTCTTTATAGTTTCAATCTCTTTTGTGAAGAAGTTCCTGATTTCTTTGAACTGTCTATTTGTATTTTTTTGGTAACTCATTGAGTTTTTTAATGATAGCTATTTTGAATTCTCTGTCATATATATTATAATTTTCTCTGCCTTCAGGATTGATTTCTGGGTGCTTGTCATTTTCTTTCCGGTCTGGAGAATTAATATATCTTTTCATACTGTCTGAGAGTGTGGATTTCTGCCTCCACATAGTGATAGTATTTGGTCACAGCTTCCACCTGCTGCCACTTGGTGGGGGTCAAGAACTGTGTATTCTGAGCCCGCTGCCATCCACAGCTTGGCAGCTCCAGCCACTGGCTGCTTTTCTATCTTTTCAGTGTTCTGGCCGACTGGCTGAGCTGGAGCGCTGAGCAGGGGGAGGGGCACTTTGTTTTACCTGCATGATTCTGGGGACATTCTTGCTCTGCCCTCACTATCTGCTCTCCTGTGGTGCTAGCTTGATGGAGACACCCCTGCAATAGCTTAGTCACCTTTGTGTGAGGATTTCCCTTGGGCTGTGAGGGAATTTGGAGAGCCAAGGTGTTCCTATGGAAGGCTGCCCCACCCCATTCTTCTCTCAGAGCCATGGGGTCCAGAGCCCAGGGTCCCTGCCACTGGGGGAGGGAGAGGAGATTACCCTTACCTCCTTCCACTTCCCTCAGGGGGACCAGCACCTCCACTTTCAGATATATGGCTGCAGGGGTCTCTCAGACATCTTTTGTGGTGTATGAATGTCTTCTGTTGGGATATGAATATCCTTTTCACTGGATCTTAGGGAGGAAAGCCTAAGTGGACAGCTTACTCTGCCGTGATCCTGATATCACTCACGCAGTTTCATCTCCTTTTGTATTCACCTTGATAGCTATTCCTCTGGCTCAGAGTTCCACTTCCATCAGTATTGTCTCAGTGTCTACCAGCCAGAATTTCCACGGCCTGAGGGCCCTGAGGCAGCTTCTAGCTACATGCTGCTGCTCACCAGGGCTTGTCAATGTGTCTCCTGATGAACTATCTCTTTTTTGTCATTATTCTTGTTACACAGTTACAGAGATTTTGAATAGTCTGTCTCTTAACCTATTTTCCCCAGAGTGCTGATTGTGCAAAATGAGAGGTTTCTCAAGAAGCAGAATTTCTTGCACTAATATAGGCACAGAGGGCACAGGAGAGTGTTTACAGCATGTGCACAAACTTTCCATACATCCTGTACACCTGACAGATGAGTCTCAGGTATAGTAGACATCACAAACACCCAGACTCAGTCAGCTTGCCCCTCTCTCAGGCCCAGCCCACACCATGCCTTCCAGAACCTTCTCATCTCCTTCTCTCCTGTTTAGACTCCTTCCTGAAACCTGTGCATGGGTGATTGGGGAGCCATCCTCCTCCTGGCCTGACTGATTGCAGCCCCTCCCCAGTGGTGGGCCTGTAGGCCAGAGGTTCTTGCTTGGGATGGAGCTGAATCATTGATGCTGAGGAGTGAGGTGGTCCTGGGAAGAAAGGATGGCTCTGCTGTGGGCTCAGGTTCTCTGTCCATCCTCATCTTACTCTCTCCCAGGGTACTATCACCACCAGCCCAGAATGCATCAGCCACGCACTGAGCACATTGACGACGGATGTTCAAGAAGGCATTTCTAAGCTGAACCCTCTGGGGAGATGAATCTTTGTCTCTGATGCCCAGCCTGAGCTCTATCATCCTGCCCTGTTCTCCTTCTCACCTGAAGCTGGAATCCAGACACCTGTCTCCTCCACCCCCCCCCCCCCCCGTGTAGTCTTCACTAGGTTGATTCTAATAAAATCAGTGCAGCTTGGCTCTCTGTGTGCTGTATGGGGAGTGCGTGAGGCCTGGCAGGAGATCATGGGAGGGGTGAGGAGAAGTGCCACTGTGGTTACTGACAGCATGGGGACTGGAGTCAGACAGAACCAGGATAAACCTAGGCCCTGTCACTGACTAGCTGTAGGACCATGGGCAAGCTGTTTTTATCTTTCTCAGGCTATTTCCTCATCTGTAAAACAGGGATTGTGTAGGATTAAGTTAAATAACACAGACATAACCCCAGACTTCACCAGCCTAGAAGGATACAAATGTTGTCAACAGCCTTAACATATCTCTGACTCTGGCCTTTATGACAGTGGCAGACCTGTGGTCCCTTAAATGACACTCTGGTAATTGAAGGGTGACTCAGGAGGTGACGTGAGCTTATCACAAGTCCTTTCTGTCTCCCAGTGGCATTCGCCATTTTCTTCTTCTTAGGTGGATGTCTTCTGAGGAAGCCGACCTTTCTGCAGGAACACTTAGTACCACTGCTGTTCTTGGGTTCTGCCACTGGGACCTGGACCCTCAGGCAGTCTTGGCCCAGGAGGAAGGGAGAAAGGGAGTGGCTGTAGGAAGCTAATCCAGAGGGGATGCTGCTGTCATGGAAAGAGCTCAGGTCCTAAAGCCTTACTTGAAGGATGTGCCACGTGGGGCAAGTGTTATGAACCCTCTGAGCCTGCTCCCCAAAGCATCAGATGGGTAATTGTATAATTGAGTAGGCAACTTGTGAAGCTACAAGGCAGGGACTAGGTTTTACCTCTATTTCCTAGAGACTACGGCAGTGTCAGGCTCCAGTGAGTATGGCCAACAAAAAAAGTAGCATAACCAGTAATGCCTCTCTACCTTCCTGGGCCAGGCACACACGATGAGGTCACACACAGGGAGTTGAACTTGGGACATGGGGCTAAGAGGCAAGGGGCTTGAGTCTGACCCGCTGGCTGAACTTAGCATTTTATTTTATTTTATTTATTTTTAAAGACTGGCACCTGAGCTAACAACTGTTGCCAATCTCTTTTTTTTCCCTGTTTTTTTTTCTCCCCAAATCATCCTCAGTACATAATTGTATATTTTAGTTGTAGGTCCCTCTAGTTTTGGCATGTGGGACGCCACCTCAGCATGGCCTGATAAGTGGTGCCATGTCCGCGCCCAGGATCCCAAAAGGTGAAACCCTGGGCCGCCAAAGTGGAGCGTGCAAACTTAACCGCTCGGCCAAGGAGCCGGCCCCGGAACTTAGTGTGTGAATTCACCTGTTTGCTCATTTCATACCTTCACTTTACATTTCCAAGTGCTGGATGCTTTGCTAGACTTAATATTAAGAGCGCAAGGTCATACCAAAAAGGTCTAGAATTTTATAGAGAAGTACAAAATAAAATTTGAACTGTTGAAGGGGTAGGTCATACCCTTGTATGGGACGAATTGACCCTTTAGGAATGTCGACTATTCCCAAATCCATGTCCAAATTAATCTTTGTTCTAATGAAGACTGATTTAAAGTTTATCCAAAAGAATAAATGCTTGAAATCAAACAAGTAAATTTAGGAAAACAAGAACTATGAGCAGGATCCTTCTCACCAGGTATTACAACATAGGTATAAGTCTCTGACTAATAAACAGTCTAGGTTTTGCAAAGGAATGAGTTGATGGTTATTGTGACAGAAAAGAAAACACGCAGATAGACTCAAAGGTAGCTTAAAATATAATGATGACAACTTATGGAATGGAGAAAGAATGGACTGTTTTTTAACATGGCATTGATGAAAATGACCAAACATTTAAAAAATCAAGATGGACCTGCCAAGCCTTTCCCTACATATTAATGTGGATTAATGATTTAATTGCCACAGTCCCAATTGTTAATTATTCATTTTTCTCTCTCTTAGATTGTCTTTCACGATGTCACGGTCTCTTGGTGTTTCTCCTGTCTTCCTGGGGGATCCTTCTTGGTTCTTCTATGATCACTTGTGTCCCATGCCAGGGATGCTTCTCTTTGCATCTCTTTTCTTTTCTGTATAAACTCACTTCTTAGTGATATCATTAAGCCTCATTACTTTAGGTTTATATACAACTTATAAAGTTAAATCTCCAGCCCCTGTACTAAAACATTGCAAAGCGCTGAATAGGCCCTCACTAAATATTTGTTAAATTAATAAATATTTGTTTAAAATTTTAAAATCCTCATGAATGACAAATATATAGAGAATCTAAGTAAATGAAAAGACTATTAAATGGGAATTTTCAACAGGATAAAAGTTATTTTTCCAAAAATAGCAGTTTAATGTACTCCCCATGAAAATAACAGTAGGATTTTTTGAAGAAAAAATGTACTTTATTTTTATAAAGTTGATCTTACACTTATTATATGACCCAAAAATCTGTCTACTAAGTTCACACTTAAGAGAAATGCAAATTTATGTTCACATGAAAACCTGCTCACTAATGTATATAGCAGCTTTATTCAGATTTTGGCTTATCAAAACTGGAAACAACCTAAGTGTCCTTCAATTGGTGAATGGATAAACAAAGTGTGTCACACTCATACAATGGAATACTACTCAACAATAAAAAGGAACAAATTATTGGTACATACAACAACGTGGAAGAATCTCAAATGTATTCTGATGAGTAAAAGAAGCTGAACTCAAAAGACTACAACTATTTGGTTTATGTACAGTCATACGCTGCAGAATGCTGTTTCAGTTAAGCGCAGACCACATATAGGACAGTGGTCCCATAAGATTAGAACCATAGAGCCTACACGTGTAGTGGGCTAGACGATCCAGGTTTGTGTGAGCACAGGCTATGGTGTTTGCACAATGCCAAATCACCTAACAACACCTTTCTCAGAACAAATCCTTGTTGTTAAGCAACACACGAATGTATATGACATTTATGTTATATTTGGAAAAATAAGTAGGGATAACCGAGAAAATGTTTTAAAAAGTAGAGTAATTAGGGGCAGTAAGCCCAATGAAATATTAAAACACATACACATATATCATAGGCAGATAAATGGACTATCAAAGGAAGGCCAGAAATAGATCTAAATAATCATGGATTTTATGATAAAGGTAACTTGAAAGTCAGTGAGGAAATCTGAATTATTTCATAAATGAAATGGTGCTGGATCAGCTGGATAAGCACTGAAAAAATAAAACTGTTGGATCTATTTCTCACAACTTTCCTCAAAATTAATTTCAGATAAGTTAAATATTGATACACTAAAGAGTAGGATAGAAAAATTCCATAAAAATCTTAGAAAAATTATGGAAGAATATTCTGAGTAAAGATATTTCCAAGGATGAAACAAAACCAGATTGATAAATTTGACTGCATAAAAAATAAAATATACGACCAGCCCAGTGGCGCAGCAGTTAAGTTCACGCATTTCGCTTCAGTGACCCGGGGTTCACTGATTTGGATCCCAGGTGCAGACCTACACACTGCTTATCAAGCCATGCTGTGGCAGGTGTCTGACATATAAAGTAGAGGAAGATGGGCACTGACGTTAGCTCAGGTACACTCTTCCTCAGCAAAACTAGGAGGACTGGCAGCAGATGTTAGTCCAGGGCTAATCTTCCCCCCAAAAATAAAATAAAATAAAAAATAAATGAAAAATATCACTGCATGTCAAAATGTATCACATACAAACTCAAAACATTAGGAGAAAATATTGGTGAAAATATTTTCAAGTCATATTATAATTGGCTCAGTTTCTTAATGTGTAAGGAGTGCCTACACAGCTCCTACAAACAATAAGGACAAAACCAACATGCCAATAGAAAAAGGAGCAGACGTTTCTAGCAGAAAGTTCACAGAGAAGAAATGAAGTGACTTTTAAACATATATTAACATTCCAGGTTTTGTGTTGAGTGATAGGTTCATGAATGATTATTACAGTATTAATAACCAGTCAATAAAGATCATCAGAGTATGTCATGAATAAAGGTTAATTCAATAAGCCTCAGACCATTAGAATAATTTTACTGAGATGCATTTTTATCTCAGTCAGATAACCTAGTGTTGGAACTCTCTTCTAGATATTCTCAAGACTCAATCCCTCACCTCCTTCAGGACCTCATGAAACTCATTTCATTAGGTTCTCTGGCCATTCTAGCTAAGTTGTAAACTCCTACACCCCTCCCTCCGTGTTGCCTGTCTCCTTTCCCTGCTTTCTCTTCTGGTGTGCTACATATTTACTGAGCATTCTTGTTCATTATTTCTCTACTACTACCAACTATAAGCTAGAGAGAGGAAAGGAATTTTAGTCATTAAAGAAATAGTCTCTGTTTGGAAATCATCTATTATCCTCTTCCCCCGAAAACACCCTCAGATACTCTCTAATCCCTACTGCATTATGTTCTTTGCCTACTCCAGTGTGGCATTTATAGTAAGAAATAATACCTTTACCAAGTTTACATTCAATGGAGAATAATAAGACATTAAAACAAAACAAAACAAAAGTATTGCTGGTTCTGGACAGGAACTGGATTTACCTTCTCACCTGGAACAAGGAAGACAGGACAAAATATATGAAATAATAATGTTCAGAAATTGAACACCAGATATCACAGAAGCGTGATCTCTGGGAGAGGGGAAAAAAAGGTGAGCTCTGTGATTGCCCTCAATTACTTCCTTGAGTGAGTTTCCAGACTGCAGTGCAAGAAGGGAGAATCCAAGGGAAAATGAGCAGTCCCTCAGAGTTCATGAGATAGAGTTGGGAGTCAAAGGGGGCCAAAGTGGTCAACTCTGCAAGGCAGAATACTGCAGATGAGAGAGTGTCACAGAAAGAGAACTCCACAGTCCTGCAAAAGGTCCCCATCAAGTCTTCGCTGAGTTCTGCCCAGTGTATGCATGTGAGAAAACTGCCC